GAGCACCGGCCCTTCCAACGACATCCAAAACCCCGCTGACAAAAATGCTAAGTTAAAAAGAATTATGTTTTATTTCGATTAAAGATCCCCTCTAAGGGAATATATGATTTGCTTACGTACATTCATTTACATAGTTATATCTAGTTATTGATTATTGCTTTTTATCTATTCAAAGCTTATGTTCAGCTGGTGAATATTAAGTTTTCTATGTAGAAAGTTATATGTCTCCCTCAATTTTATGATCTAGCAGTCCTTTATTTTAGTCAAATTCACCTTCACCACTTGTCAGTGATTCATTCGTTTATTTACAGCCACTATATCTTGCTTATAAAACAAGTCTGACACATTCTTCAATAGGTTTATCTTTGGTCTCAGGAAGATATCTTTAAACAAATAAGAATGTGATGAAGCAGCTAATTGCCAATATAGAATAAGCTATTATCTTTCCCAGATCAGTAGCAGTAATCTATAGGAAAATGGCTGAAGTAATAAAATTGAAAAGCCAGTTTGATGTAGTTGTAATAGAATTTGCGATTCCTCTTAAATGATTCTAAAAAGAATAGTTATCATTTCAAAAATGCTCTTACTGGGAATATCTCGGCACATACAGTCCAAGGTTAGGTAGCGAATCCAATACAAAAGAACACAAAATAGCCTGCTAAACTCAATATGCATATATATCCAGTTACTAAATAGTATGACGTAATTATTCCATAATAAACTTACTGGATGAATCTTATGAAGAAGCTAGCTGATTCTTTATCATTACTCCAACCAAGAGTAATAGAGAGATGCCCATTGGGATACAATTCATCAATATGAGCTACCTTCTACCGTATTTCTTTCCCATAATGCTTCCAATTAAATTTGAAATCGTATTTACGGTACATAGAAATACCATACTCCAAAGTAGATCACGATGACTATCACCACCAAAACCAGCATCTTGTAAGATCTATGGCCCATAGAATTAGATAATGTTTATTCCAGTAAACTACTGCAGAATGTGAAGCATATTTGCTACGAACAGATTCCATTTGTATGTTGTCAGAAGTTCTTTATAAAGTTTAACTTAGCTCACTTCAGTCTCTTTCTTAGCTGTTGAAGCCATTATTTCCTAAACATGCTAATCTAATGCCTATGAAAATTAAAACATAAATTTTACTCTCTAACCAGCTTGAGTAGAGGTATTGTAGAACTTTTTCAAAGAATTTATCACTTAAACTTGGGACCCATGCATTGCAATATAGATAGGTGATTCACTCTGAGTTAATATAATAAGTGTTGTCTAAACTATAGCTGGAATCACTCCCATCAAGAACATCATTGTTAGATTATACTCAAAGTAAAGACTTGAAAGATGAGCAAATATGCATCCGGAAAGACAAAATAGTATATACATGGAGCCAATTTGCCCTCTTAATTCATTTGGTGATGATTCAGACATAAATACTTGCGATGCCATCATGTTAAGGCCCATTCCAAATCCAATTAATATTCTGCAAATGCAGTAAAATTCAACATTAGCAATGAATACCAAAAGTAAAGGTCCAATGATCAAAAGTACACTTGATGAAATTATAGAAAATTTCCTTCCTATTTTCTCTGTAATAACACCAGCTGAAACTGCTCCTATAGTTCCTCCTAAAACGGCAAAGCTCACAAATCTCTATAATAAATCGATGTAAAATGATAATTCAATCATACAGATTTTTGTTCAAGTGTAATCTCCGGGAAATCTTTATCTATGTATAAGAGAATACCTGCAACAATTGCAAAATGGTAACCAACAGCCAAGGCTCCTGTTGCCCCAGCTAGAGCCATGATAAACAAGTTAAGATTCTTGTAGATTTTCTTTTTATCAGAATTCTACTCAATTTACTATGGAGTACTTCTCATTGGTATTCAAATTAATTATTTGCCTGTAAATAAAATCTTATTAATATAAAAATTATACTCTATGTACTTTAGATTATAGTGTGTTTCATTATATTGACTAGCACATTTACAATTCATCAAATTCTATCTTATGGGGTTTTGGGGTTTTGGGG